CTCTTTTAAAATGGGTAAAAATTCCTCACCAGCTGTAAACACTTTCTCTTCCATTTCCTTCCGTTTTGGAGGGGCTGAGCTTTTAACGCCAGCTGAGAGACCTTTTCCTGCATCAATCAGGGACTTCGCAATGTCCCTATGATCAGCAGAACGTAGTCTTCCTGTTCACTGTCTCTACTGGATGGTTTAGGTCCAATTGGACCACCCAGCAAAAAAAGTATTGGCGGCAATCTCAGAGTATCGAGATCAGATGACCATTTCGTAGCGACGTAGGCTCCTCCTTTCCCAAATCTGCAACTCTTAATCCATTTAACATTTTCTAAAATCAACACTAATCATCCTTTCGTCACATATTCCTCCCCCCCATTTTTTTTCTTGCAAAATTTTAGACTCATGATTTTTTTGTTTACCTGATTAAAGGAAGACTCACCCAGTAATATGAGCAACTTGTGGTTCTGAAGATTTTTAATATTTAACAAAAAGTTTTAAAGTAAACTCCAAAGTAAGGTAATTGTGAAGTTTGGTTAAATCTTAAATCCATAAAAGGTAGATTATCATCTTTGAGCTCAGTAAAATCCCATGATTCCTGTTTCCAAGAGACTGCAAAAACATCTGTTTCTGCCCTCTATTCATAGCAAAAACAGCTGTCCAGAATATATATGGCAATCTCAAGATCTCTTCTTTCTCCAGAGAGATTTTTGGTGGTCCACATCCAGCATCCAGCTACCTTTTGGGCTGTAATCTCTCCCACTAACCAGGAAATATCAGTTTACCATTCTTCACGGGAAGCTACTCTGCTGTGCTCTTAATTTATGGAGTAGGATTCCCCCCTCCCCCTTTTTGACTCATACTACTATAGCATGTATTAAAAATGTCCTCTATAGTTTAGGTTACTTCAGTACTTTGAGAGAATACCTATGGTTGGAAAAAGAAAATATAAAATACTTGACTGTATAATAAGCATTTTTGTAGTGTACCTTATCATTTAATCTTTTTGAAATATCAGTGGAATATTATAAGAAAATGTTGGTGTTGAGAGGAAACTTGCTTGCAAAAGGGACTATTACCCAAGGCCCAGTTTGCACACATAGCTTTTATTGAATTAAAGAGTTGACTGTAAGCCTAAATGCCTCACATTATTGCCAGTTTTTTTGAAACTTTGTAAAATTGTCAGAAGAGGTAGGAATTCTCTCAAATTGAGATATTTGTGCTAGGAACTGACTTTGCTTTTTTAAAAGAAAAATCATGTTTCAAATTTGATTTTAATTTGGGAAAATCCATTCATGCATTGTAGACTGCAATAACGTGCATTTATCCTGAAGATGGCATTTATTTAAGAAGAGTTATCATTTTTCAGTTCCTTAACAAAGCAAAACCACAGTCTTAAGAAACAATGGAAAAACATTAGAGATTGGTTTATAGTTCTGTTCCAGGAATCAAAGATCATAAATTTTGAACGTCAGGACTAGAGAAATATTTTAGATTTTTGGATTTTGGTTTTACATTAAAAAAAACAACTCATGAAATTTTTCTATTGAATTTTATAATGGCTGTAGGCATCTCGTTTCTGATGGCTATACACATTTGATTATTTTACATGTGATGTGTGATAAATTGTATCCTGAAAAGGGCATTTAGAATCTCAAGCTGAAGGCAATTTAGTAGAGAAATGCATTTTTAAAAAAAATATTACAGATATGTTTTCCTTAATTATTCTGAACAATTCTTCATATACCTTGAAAGGTGCAGAATCTGGGTCTTACTTCTAGATAAGTATGCATAGAATATGAGGAAATCCCACTGCAAAAAGTTCAGTCACTGAAAAAAATTAAAATTAGGTAATGGATGTCCATCCAGGATGGAAACACCAAAAACCTGAAAACAACAAACCTACATGAAATTGCCACAAGCCAAGGTTGATTAAAAACTAGATGGGGGTTAGCACAACTTTTTAAAGATCTTAAATTTCCATTCACTGGAGAAACTCATTGTGTCAAGTACACACATGGTATCTCCCTTGATTTTAGGAGTTTTAGGTAAAACAAAAAAACAAAAAAAACACCCTAGCACATTGTCAACTCTATGCTTGGGAACCTATAGCTAAACATGAGAGAGAGAGAGGGAGAGAGAGGGAGAGAGAAATAGATTATTAACTTGTGTTTTCAAGAATATGTGTACTCTGAGCCAAATATAATGGATATTGAAGATTTCTTGATTGTGGAGGCACATTGGAAACAATACAATCGAACAAATACATAACCTCTAGAAGTTTGAGCAATTGTAAACTCATGATTTGTACAAAAAATAAAACATGATTTGGTGATATGTGTGACAGTTCTTATGTGAAATTGTATTTCATCCCATTTGTTAATTTTAAAGTAGTCTTTTATGTTAAAGTATGTTAAGGTCTTTGGGTTTATATAGTACCCTAACTGTATGGTTTTTTGCATGCAAAAATATATATGTTTCATAGGGCAAGAACTCACAATTTCCTATTTTCTGCCTGGTGTCTTAACCACAAGACCAAACTGTCTCTCTTTAATCTTATAATAGCTTTTATCCAGCTGCTTTGTAGAACTGAACAATAAAACCCTGTTCCCTTTTTGTTTTATTTCTGAGAAATATCAAATCTTCTTCAATTCAAAAAGGAACTTAACACAAACTTTAATTAGAATTTTTTGTAATAATAGCCAATTAACTATGACCGTGTAACAGCACCAGAGCTAAAAAAATGTTTTACTAGAATCTGTCCAATTTAATGACTTTAAATTAAGTTTTTCTATAGTCAGGAAACATTTGGCATCTCGCACAAATCCATGTTTCATTGCTGGTAAGAGAAGGTTACCCGATATTGCCCATATACAGTATATGTAAATTATATTTAAGTGCCCCATACATAAATTTGCACATTATATAATGAACTTTTAGCTGTATTACCCACTCAATCTTTGCTGAAAGCTTTTTGTTTTGTCTCTTATTTTTTGTGTTTGTTTTTCTGCCTGCCTTTATAATGTGCTCATACATTTTGAAGGTTACATATTGTAGCTATTGTATGTTATATTATTGTCAATGGCTTCTGTCTACACTGTTTGTAGAGTATGCACATTTAAATTAGCACCTTTTTATGTATTCGTAAACTCTAGATATTAGGATTTTCCATCTCATGAACCTTTATAGGAAAAAACTTTAGTTTATTTGTCCAAATAGGTCTTGATGCAACTTAATTTTTAAAAAATGATTAGATTATGCATTAACTTCATTGTTATGGTAAAATGTGTTCACTTATAGCTGCATCAATAAGAAAACTCATTACAAATAGTATATGATTACCTAAATCATTATAGTGTTCATGTAACCAATTGGAAAGATAGTAATATTATGTTTACAATTTTTCAGAAATGGGGAACAAGCTCCTACTTGAACTATGTCTTAAGTTCTATCATGGGTTATGGAATTGTGCGCTGATGAGCCAAGAAGTGGAGTGCTCAAGTGACTAAAGAAGATGGGTGCTAATGCTTCAAACTATCCTCATTCATGTTCCCCAAGAGTAGGGGGAAATTCTCAGGCACAACAGACATTCATAGGTAGGTATTACTTTTCTCCATTTTATTTTTTTACATTGCATATCCAGGCCATATGTTGTCTGTAATCATAGGGTATCATGTCTAACTCAAAGGCAGTCTTGATTTAATGTATATTAAGCAGCAGTTCATGTGCTAAATCTATCATAATACTGTGAGTTCTGATCCTTGCAAAGGATATTTATGAACAGATGAGAGGAAATGGATAATCATTTGGTTAAACGTGAAAGTACCCAAACACATGTTTCCCTATATCAAGAAACAATGTGAAAAAGAATGCATACTTTAGAAATAGATAAGTCTTGAACTTCTCTAAGGGGCAGCTTTCAAAATATTATTGGCTCAGAAAACTGTAACATTAAAAATGTTCAGAATTTCAGAGCTAAGTCTCGCAAGGCTTTTTAAAATTTCTCTGTTTGTTGCCATAAAAAGACAAACTGGAGCAGATGGAGTGACATTTAACCATTGGAATTTTTGCTTCTATGGGTTTGAATGTTGATTTCAAATTCAGAATGATGTTAGAAGTCTATTTTTTGAGGCTATGCTAGCAGTAAAAGCTTGATATAAGTACATTTTTAATGTAATGTAATTTTGTGAAGTCAGCAGATCTAATGGCAAGATTGCTGGAGATAAATCTTAAGCATTAATTAACTCTAAGCCTTGTCAAGGTTCCATTGAAACCTCAATTATTTTAATACCTGTATTTTGCAATGTTACGTTCTGTGGTCCCTTTGTTCACTTTCTTTGGAATATCTTAACATCTTCTGTCTTAATCATGCTACGATTTTGTGATCAAGGTTTAAAATGTTTAACAAAATGGATCTTTTGGAATATATAGGTTTATTGGCCTTGCTAAGGTATTGAAGCTAAACAACAAAAAGGATTTAAAAAGTAAAATATGTTTGTAATGCTGTATGTTTATATACTCATTTATAGTAAAACCTTTTTTTAATATATTAATTATTTTTTCTACCTATCTGTTGAATTTCATTTACATTTTCACTTGGATTGTAACGAACTAACTCGACTCCATGACTAGATTAGCAAAAAGATTTAACATTTATATTGAGAAAGTGTGCCTGAGGTCGTATAACACTTAATCTCTATGGTAACTTATAGATTTAGGAGAGAGGAAGTTTGTGCAAGAAACCTTAAAAAGAGCATAACTATGTCATAGCCTAATATATTAAAATTCTGTGCATGTTTGGCCAGGTCTGTAATGCATTTGCAAAATTACAAAGGAGTCAACAAGGAAAAGTCAAGGTAAAATCTTCAAACTGGATGGTTTTAATGTAAATCAGACATTGCTGTAGTTAGAATAAATACAGTTAAATATACACCAGACTAGATAAAAATAAGACTAAAAATTAATATTTAGTTTTGCCACGGGGCCAGAAATATTTCAAGATGTTAGATGCTCAACCATAGATATTAGATGCCAAACTTTCAAGAAGATCAAATAAAAAGAGAGAATAATCAAGATTTGGAAAATAATGAGAGACGTGGGCAGAATTCAGTAATTGTGTAAGATGCTTTTAATATGTTTTTCCTTGCAATTCTTACAAGATATGTTAGTGTATTAGCTTTCCCCAACTGGCAAAGAAGATTAATCCACAAAAATGGAAGAATGAAAGACATGGGATAGACAAAAATAGTAAAACCACAGGAATGCAACTAGGATTTTTCCAGTCAGTTACATATTCCAGATGAAAGATAAATGATCCAGGAGATTTTTTTATATCTGTAAAAACAGAAAAATCATTTATTTTTATTTTTAAAAGGATGTTTTTTAAAGTCATATTTTGACTTAAAATCAGTTCCTAGAATACTGCCATCACTATTTTGTTTAAGAGAGGTAGAAAGAAAAAGAAGTAGGGTAAATAAATATTTTATTTCTCAAAATCTCCATGTATGGCAAATTTGAGCTAAATAAAAGTTTGGGTTCTTGACAGTTGAAAACTGCCAGTACTGATTCATATGTGTTTGTTGGTTTGGATAGATATGGGTAGCTTTTCCACTAATTTTCTGTATGCAAAATTTTGTGCAATTTTCTTTATAACTACACTTTGCTAGTTTATTGTAAACTATTCTGAACATTTTCAGATGTTCCATATAATAAGTTTAAAACTCCAATCAATGCATTTCACTGTTTATACCCTGCTTCTGGGCTTTAGGCAGTTTTTTTCCCTTCTTCTTTCAGGGACATCATCCTATTCCCATCAAGGTTATGGCTGTGAATCTAAACTTTATAGCCTTGAGCATGGCCACGAGAAACCTCAAGATAAAAAAAAGAAAAGTTCTGGCCTTGCTACCCTCAAAAAGAAATTTATTAAGCGCCGAAAGTCTAACCGGTCTGCTGATCACGCCAAGCAGATGCGCGAGCTCCTCTCCGGCTGGGATGTCAGGGATGTCAATGCGTTAGTGGAAGAGTATGAAGGAACGTCAGCCTTAAAAGAGCTTTCTCTGCAAGCTAGTTTGGCAAGGCCAGAAGCCAGGACGCTGCAGAAAGACATGGCTGAACTGTACGAGTTTAAATACTGCACCGATGTCGATCTAATATTTCAAGAAACTTGCTTCCCTATGCATCGTGCAATTTTGGCTGCAAGGTGCCCATTTTTTAAGACCCTCCTTTCTTCCTCACCAGAATATGGTGCAGAGATTATAATGGATATCAACACAGCTGGCATCGACCTGCCCATGTTTTCTGCTTTGTTACACTACCTATACACGGGTGAATTTGGGATGGAAGATTCGAGGTTTCAGAACGTGGACATTCTCATGCAGCTTAGTGAGGAATTTGGAACACCAAATTCTCTCGATGTTGACATGCGAGGGCTGTTGGATTACATGTGCTATTATGACGTGGTTCTCAGTTTTTCATCCGACTCTGAACTTGTTGAAGCTTATGGCGGAAGTCAGGGCTGCTTAGATGAGGAGCTCAGAGCACACAAAGCTATTATTTCATCGCGCTCACCTTTCTTCCGGCATCTGTTACAGAGGAGGATACGAACCGGAGAAGAAATCACAGATCGAACACTAAGGACTCCAACACGGATTATATTAGATGAGTCTATCATACCAAAAAAATATGTGAGGGTAATTTTAAACTGTATGTATACAGATTTGGTGGACCTCTCTATTTTGCACAGCAGTCCATCAGTAGGGAGTCTAAGTGAGGTCCAGGCTCTTGTAGCAGGAAAAACAAGCATGACAAAGGCTGAAGAAGCTATGGAACTGTACCACATAGCACTTTTCCTGGACTTCAGTATGCTTGCACAAGGTAAATAATTATTTTATTCCTTTAATGTTTAAATCTGGATGGATTTTTAAAATTTCTTCTTGATAGTTCCTGCCCTTCTCTTTTAGGCGAGGCTTCTAAAATTATCCTGCTCTGGAATTATTATTAGCTTCATGTAATTTTAGTCAATTAACTATACATTTTTCAGAATACATTACTGAACAAAGCTATATTTAATGAGGTTTATTTCCATGTTTTGTGTGTGCGTGTGTGTGTGTGCACGCATGTTTGTGTATATGTGTATGTGTGTCATCTTTAAGTTGCAGATGGCTATAAATTATTTCAGGAAAAAAACTTGTTTTTGATGTATGTCTGAGCTACACTAGTCACCATATTAGAGATATTCTTCCTTTTGTAAGTTATGGTCGACGTTATCAATGATGTACTATTTTACAAAGAACTGGCTCCTAACTTGATTGATGTCTTCAACCGAAGATAACTGTATAAGGAGTGGTTACTTTATATAGGTAAAAGTAAAGGTTTCCCTCGCACATGTGTACTAGTCGTCAAAGAGCCAGTGCTGTTTGAAGATGTCTCCATGGACATGTGTCCAGCATGACTAAACGCTGAAGGTACACGGAATGCTGTTACCTTCCCACCAAAGATGGTTCCTATTTTTCTACTTGCATTTTTACATGCTTTTGAACTGCTAGATTGGCAGAAGCTGGGACAAGTAATGGGAGGTCACTTCATTACGTGGTGCTAGGGATTCGAACTGCCGACCTTTCTCCAACGTTGGTGGAGACAGCGGTCATGCATGGGTTAACTCAGTCAGTAACCAATAGAACTGAGTCTATCAAAATGATGTCATCGCCTCGGGGGAGTGTCCTCCTGTTTTTTTAGACTCAGTTTGATCGGACTGGCTGTACTAACTGCTTTCTCCTCAACTTTAAAAGTTATTTAAATCGTATTTAATTGGATTTTGTTCTAAATTTCATCTAAATTGGAAGGAATCAGGATAGCTCTTTAAAGCAAAATCTCTCAAATAGCCCAGGGCTATGGGAAAAGATTTTTGAGGCTTTTGTCTCTGGAGATTGCCAGCAGAGAGCTCTCCGGCAAACAGCGCCTTGTGGCAACAGCCATTGCCACTCTGTGCTGCTACCTCTGCTGGGCTACGCGCCCCCCCCCTCATGCTGCATCCCCTCCAGCCACCTCCAAAAGCCGCCAGCAGCCCGGAGCAGCTGTCAGAAGCACCGCTGCTGCACGCCGCCACCGCTCCTCAACACTTCCCCCATCGGAACACCATGGCCTTCTTCAGACGCACTGAGGCATTTTTCATCTCTTTCCATTCCACAAATAAGGAGCTAAAGGCTTCGCCATCTATGGTGGGGCACTGGATCCGATCAGCTATAACCAGGGCTTACGTGGCAAACCACCTCTCCCCTCCATCTAACATCACGGTGCATTCCACACGAAGTGCGGCTACATCTGCAGCGTGGACAAGACAGGCCTCGTTGGAAGAGATCTGCAAGGCGGCCACCTGCCCCCTAATTCTTTTATCTGCCATTATAAGATGGACAGATACGCATCGGCGGATGCAGCATTCGGACGGCAAGTCCTCCAGCAAGTTCTCCCTTCTTCAAGCTCCTAGCCCAGTCTCAATCCCACCCGGGGACAAGCCCAGCTCTGGTATGACCGCCATCTCCACCAACATTGGAAAATGGGCTATTGGTTCTTACCTGATATGCCCCTTCTCTAGTCAGGTGGAGACAGCGGTCATCCCCACCCTTGGTTCCTGGCCTAGTGACAGTGGGCATTTTGGAGCTAAGGGGGGAATTTTTTTTTTCCGGAGGCTTGAAAGCAGTCAACTAACACACAGCAGTCTACTTATCTCCTTCGTCACAAAAGCGGGAAGACACTCCCCCGAGGCGATGATATCACTTTGGTAGACTCAGTTCTATTGGTTACTGACTGAGTTAACCCATGCATGACCACTATCTCCACCTGCCTAGAGAAGGAGCGTATCAGGTAAAAACCAACGCCCCATTCTGATCAACAAGCTCAGCATCTTAGCCACTGAGCCACCATGTCCCAACCTTCCTTTATAAAGCAATATCTATATGAAGCTGCTGTTTACAGTCAGATTATTGTTTATTCTTGCAAACCAACTGACAACAGCTTTATAGGTTTTCAGAGAAAGGTCTTTCACAGCTTTGTTTAGGCGATGTGGAAATTAAATATTGAATGTTTGATATTTATTTATTACTTAAATAGAGCCTCTCCCAAGTAACCAAGCAAGTAGCAGTTCTATGAAGGTTCACTACCTAACAAAGTATTTTCTTGCTAATTAATGTATTTTTTTAAAAAGAGATTTGCTAGAAATCTGCTTTAGTTAGAAAAAAAGGCATATTCCTGCAAAATGGCTTCAATTTTGAAAACCTCTTATTGCTTCGTACATGAACCTATATTTCAACATAGATTATGTAAATCAAAAGTATTTAGATGTCTCTGCATGGATTGAATGCAAAAGTCCCTTCCAGGTGCACAAGAAAGAGATTTATACAAGCTACAGCATTGCAAAATAAATGCCACAAGTAAATTTGCATTTCTAGTACATGTATCTGTGAGGAAGCCCGTTTGAACATAATAGGTCTTCTGAATAACGTTGTGAAAAATTGCAGGATTAATGTACAGGGAATTCCAGTTCCAATTGTGATTTTAAGTCAGTGCAGCCATAAAGCAAGTTGTCATGCACTGATTTTACAACCATTTTACCAGAATGATTAAGTGCATTATACAGTTAAGGGAATCTTGACTTTGCTTGTTGAAAACCTGCTGAAAACTCACAAGTCACAATAATGTTACCACAAAATGTTGCAGTTATCATAAAAATGTAAGCAGGTTGCCAACCAACCAGTGGTGGGATTCACTTACCTTCCCTACTGGTTCGCAAATGTGAGCCTGCTTGCTTCGCTTGCACGTGCCACCTTCTGCGAATGTGCACTGCCTTCTATGCATGTGTACTGCCTTCTGTGCATGTGCAGAAGGTCGTGCATTACGTTGGGGTGGGTGGGTGGAGCTTCCCAGAGCCGCCATTAACGGTTCGCCTGAACCAGAGAAAACTGGCTAATTACCACCTCTGCACCCAACCTAAATTGGGATCAAATGACTGTTGGGGTGGTGCAACACTTGTAACTACAAGGACTAGTCATCAGTCAATTTTCTGAGTCTGTTGCAACTTTTAACTGCCGTTAAAATGAACCAGCATAAGGCAAGGACTTTACAGAAGTGGAAATATGTGACATTCAGTATCAGTTATGTTTCTGTATGGACGTCTGGTCAATCTCCTATTCAGTTATTTGAATTTCACTCAGATAATTCTCTGTAAATGTCCAGTACATGAACAGTTAATGCTTCTCATATGCTCAGATTTGAGTATTAACTTTCATAGTGGTTTTTGAAACTATTGTATATCACGCATGCAGGAAAGGGAAGTATAATGAAGGAAAATGAACAGAGTAATATGCTCAGTGATTTATTTTTTTCTGCACTTGTAATTACATACAGTATATATTTAAAATATACCACCTCAAGATTTATGAGGGGTCTCATTAAAAGAAAAGCTAGTCAAATACTAGTTTATGTATTTACTTCCATGTCATTTCTTTTATCTGTTCTAGTTTGAGCCTTTGACATGGTAACTATGGACTAAATGGGAAGACCTGATGAAGGCCACAAGAAGGAAGTGATTTGTACTAGGAGGCCAGTAAACCTGTCACCCATTCCAGTCTAAATACAATACAATACAATAGCAGAGTTGGAAGGGACCTTGGAGGTCTTCTAGTCCACCCCCCTGCCTAGGCAGGAAATCTTACACCGTTTCAGACAAATGGCTATCCAACATCTTAAAGACTTCCAGTGTTGGGGCATTCACAACTTCTGGAGGCAAGCTGTTCCATTGATTAATTGTTCTGTCAGGAAATTTCTCCTCAGTTCTAAGTGGCTTCTCTCCTTGATTAGTTTTCCCCCATTGCTTCTTGTTCTACCCTCAGATGCCTTGGAAAATAGTCTGACTCCCTCTTTGTGGCAACCCCTGA